TATTTATTTGTTTTGTTTGTAAGGTTCCTATTGTATTTATTATTGTCTTTTAAAAACTGGCATTTGATCTTGATGCTTTTCTGTTTATTTTCACATAGAATTAGTTTTATGGAACATTTAGAAAAGGATGTGATTCAGAGCGGCTATACTCACTTCTTACGCTCCTTTTGTGAAAAATGCAGTGGCTTTCTGAAACTTTCTGGTTGTGTTTCCATTTTTTCCCTTTGTCTCTATTTTCCCTGATTTGCCTAATTTATATTCCTCTACCTTCATGGCAATTTCCAGGGTTACTGGGATTGCTCTCTGCTAGCTTGTTTATACCTTCTTTATATTTTTATTTTTTGAAGGCACCATTCACTTCCTTACTGTGGAAAGCAAAAGCCTGAAAGCAAAAGCTGGACTAAAATGAGTTCAAGAGAGAATGACTGGTCAGAACCCCTCTTCTCAGATTAGCCTGTTGAACTCAGTGGTGAATAACTATTTCTGTTTTAGGGTTCTTTTATTCATTATTCACTAGCTGTTTCCCTCTGTTTTCTCATGCACGCACACTGCTCTGGTGGTCATTTGTCCGCACTCACTTGTATTTGTGGATTGTGAGACTATCTTGCCATCTACTTTTGTCGTAAATCTTTCCCAGAGGTTTTGCTTTCCTTTCTTAATTGCGCTCTATGTTTGTATATGGGGCTTTAGAGGAAGTCTAAAACTGTTATCACCATCTTTTCAGAATCCTCTTTCATAAGGATTTTAATAATACTTAGCAATATACTGTAATTTAGAAATATACTGTAATAGAAATATACCGTAATTTAGTCAGCCACTTCCTCCATCTTGAAAACCTTCTTTTTGCCTGCTTTCCATCTTTAGAAACCATGTCAAACCTTCTGCCTATACAAAGCCTTCAGACTTCTAAGGACAGAATGACTGTTAATTATCCTGTCACATCCCTCAGTATATCCCTTTAATCATCACAAGGTGATCTCTGTCTTAGAAAAAGCAAAAGCATAATGTAAACCATTAGAAGCAAATATATAAAAACTTGAAATGTATTTATAGAAAGCTGGACAAAAGATACATTCTAAGTCATAGAAAACAAAATATAAACAAATGGTCAAGCATACTAATACTAGTTTTTCAGTTAACAAATTGACAGATTTATAAACAAAACAGGAACTCAAGGTACTAGAGACCATTTGTGGGTGCATAAATTAATTCTCATTCTGGTTGTTTAGTTGGGAATATTTATCAAAAGCCCTTAAAATATATATAATCTGTGACTCAGGGTTTTCATTTCTGTGATTTGATCATAAGGGAATAATTGACTTGTGTTTAAAATTTTAACTATAGGAATGATTGTTGCATTGTTATTTATTATACTGAAAAAATTAAAAATGACCTAGATGTCTACCAATAAGGCATTAGTAAAATTAAGTGTATCCTAGCAATGGAATACTTTATAGTCACTAGCCTATATTATAAATATTATTTAATGGCAGGAATATATGTTTATAACATTAAATGAAAAAAGATTATAAAGTATTATCAGTGGGATAACTCATTTTAATAAAACTATATATGCAAAGGAAAAATAACTGGAAGAATATTAGTGATTTTTTTCAAGGCATTAGAATTATAGGAGATTTTAATCTTAATTTTAATCTATATTATCTATAATTAACATGTAATGATTTTTGGATTAAGATAAAAGTTACTATTAAGTCAAATAAAAATATATTCTTATTTGTTTTTACTTTTGGGATTTTAAAAAAGTAAACCTTAATGTAAAAGCACAAATCTACTCTTCCTCTTCCTCTTGCATAGTGTATACCAAGCCTAGTTTATCAAAGTAGCTTCTACTTGTGAGAAATCAGAGGATATTTTTTTCCTTTGACTAGGAGGGGGTTCCTTACTCTTTCCCCTCCCCTCTGCTCTTTCTTCCCTCCCTCCCTTCCTCCTCTCCTCCCTCCCTTTCTTCCAACCTTCCTTCCTTCCTGTTCTTTTTTGTGTGTATAGGTTGATGATTTGAAAAATGAGCATAATTTTATAGCTCAAATCCCTTTCCAGTCATTTCCCTAAGGTCGTAGTCAAGAGTGTAGACTTGTTAATCGTACTGTCTGGGTTAAATTTGGGCTCTGTGACTTTACTGTCTTCAGAGTCACTCAGTCATGATTTTAACCTGTTAACTTTGGATGAATTATTTGGCTCCATTTCATTTTTCTCATAATTAAAATGAGGATAATAAAAATATCCACCTTCTAAGTATATTCTAAGTGTATTTCTGAGGACTAAATAAGTGGTTTTATACATATGTAGTACTTAGCTCATTGTGTATTGTATAAGAAGCCCTCATAGATACTATTATTAGCTGCTATCGCATTACCTTTTTCATCCATTTATCTAACACATGCTTATTGAGTGCTTGTCATATGCCACACATGGTTCTAGTCATAGAAACATCAATGAAAAAAAGTCATTGTCCTTGTGTAACTTATGTTCTAGTGAAGGAAACTGCAAATGAATATATGACGTTAGGCAAGTCCCATGAAGAAAAATAAACAAAGAGATAGCAAATAGAAGAAGGTGTTATTTAAGGTAGAGTTTCATTTTGGCTGAAAGCATCTGACTATATGGCAGAATGTTTTTGGCTAAGGGGACAACATATAAAGTCCTCAGGCAGTGACATTTCTGATGAATGTGAGGAACTACTGTGGAGGACTTTTAGTTTAGAGGACACCTATGGGTATACTTTTAGTTAAGAAAAAAGATAATAATAGTGGATGAGGTCAGAGGAATCAGTAGGGTTTTGTAGGCTGCCCTAAGGTAAGAACTTTGGATTTTGCCCTAACTGTGATGAGAAGGCAAATTTTGATGGGGGAATGATGTGGTTTGATTTATATTTTGAAAAATAACTGGCTGTTTTTATAGGAGAAAGACCTAGGGGTCAGATTAGAAACTGGAACAATTAAGAGGCTATGGCAATAATAGAAATGAGAGCTGACAGTGGCGTAGACGAGGAGATGGTGGTAGGGAGAAGTGGTTGAGTTTGGAATGAATTTGGAATATATGTGAAAAAAGAATGAATAGAATTTGTTTAAGTATTGGATGTAAGCAATTTTGCAAATGTATTTCTGTAATAGAGAATACTCTGGGAAGAGCAACTTTATGCATATAGGGAACATAAGAATTTTGTTAAGGACGTTAATTTAGGAAATGCTAATTGTGGAAATCCTCCACTTAAATGGAGATTTTGAAGAGACAATTCTATGTAGATGAATGGAAGTCAGGCCTATAGATAAAACTTTGAGAATTGTCTCTGTGTAAATATTTTAAGTTACTTCAAATGATGAGTGAGTTTGATAGACAATAGGAAAGTTCTGAGGATCGCTCTGGGATGCTCCAACATCTGGAGGTCAAGAAGAGGAAAAGGATCTAGCAGAAAAGACTGAGAAGGAGCAGCCAGGGAGTTAGGAGGACAATGTGCTGTGAGAAGCCTAGTGAAGAAAGAGTCTAGGGAGGGGTGAGTGATGTGTAGGACTAAGTTTGCAAGAAACAGATCAGAACTGAGAGTTGGCCATAGGTGTTGGTGATCTTGACAAGGACAGTTTGTTGAGTGTTAATGGTGATAAAAGCAAAAGCTGGACTAAAATGAGTTCAAGAGAGAATGAAAATTAAGGAAATAGGGACAGAGAAGATATATTTTCTTCAATACATTTTGGTACCGAAGAGTATTAGCTGGAGGACATATAAACAAGAATTCTTTTTGAGATGGTTTAGGTGGAAGGGATTTAAATAATTTAAATAGAAAAGGGGAGATTGAAGCAGAAAAGTGGAGAAGTAACTATCTAAGTGGGGGAGAAGAAAAAGGATCCAGTGTATATTTGGAGGACTTGGCCCTCTCTATGAACATGAGTGTTCATATATTATAACAGGAGAAAAGAGAGTATATACACACAGATGCAGATTGGTTGGTGAATTTGGCTGTGGGAATGTGTGGAAATTCTCTTCTGAATAATGTATTATCCTCAGTGAAATAAGTGTGGTCATCAACTGAGAGATGACGGTATGGGAAGAAGGGATGTTGGAGATTTGGGAGATGGTCCAATAATTTCTAGGAAGGTGTGTGGATTAACTATTATCAGTTTGCTTAACTACCTGGCAATAATAGAGTGTATTATAATCTGTATAATAATAGAGTGTATACTTGAGATATAATGTCATAAATTTAAAGTGGGAATAGTTAACGTGGTTTGCAATTACAGCCACATTAATCTACTACATATATAAGTACAGAATAGGATGAGAGTTGAATTTAGGATTGGAATTTTTCCATGCAGGATGAAAGAACATAGAAGCAAGGGAAATGGGTGCATGTAACAGAGTGATTATAGTGATGGGCCATGAAGTCTAAGATGGGTAAGGAAGGAAGTAGGGTGAAACTGTATGTGCTCCAGCCAGACCAAACCTCTGCTGCCAGTTCCCACATTCCACTTCATTATCTCTGGAACACGTTTTCTGAGATAACCTTCTTTCTCTTTCTTATACCTTACCCCATTCCCAGCCCAAACGCAAGCACGCAACACCCAGTATCCGTATGTTCAGATTCTGTCTACCCCTCATGAAATAGCAGACATGGTACTTCTTGCAGTCTTCCCTCCTCAGCCACAGTGAACAGTGGTCTTGTTTTTCCTTTTGATCTCTTATAGCACTCTAAATCTCTAATTGGCTAATTACTTAGTATTATAGCTTTGTGTATATATTTTACCAGGGATTATGTCCTTGTATCCAGAGCATTTTACACAACTGATACTATTCCCAGTGATGGGAATGAAAATCTCTAGTAAAACAACTTCTCTGCAACATTCTTCAAAGCAATTATAGAAACCAGTATTTCATAGAAATTACATTTAGTTTCATCATTTCTTTTTACTCACTGCAGTCTGTAGCAATCCTATATTATTTTTAAGTGATCATCTTTATTATCATTTTATTTATTTATCTTGCAGGAGCATCTTTCCTTGAAGAAGTATATTATTGATATTTTGGTTGAAAGTACAGCTCCACCAGAGCCTTTGAAAGATGGAGAGGAGCGACAAAAAAATAAAAAAAAAGCCAAAAAGATTAAAGCCCGGATGAACTCCAGGTACCTCAAATATCCTTAAAAAGAAAACAAAAGTAAAACACTTAGTGATGTGTCTTTTAATGTAAATCCAAGGAAGACCAAAAAAAAAAAAAAAGTTTAAAGTTGTTTGCTACAAGAAAGCCCTGGAAATAACACTGATGAGCCTAATTTATAGCCACTTTCCTTGATTGAGAAAGAAAACTGCATATCGATCTAAAGCCCTTGCTTTCACCTGTTAAGAGCTCTTCTCATAATTGGATGCCAAAGCCCTGCCAAACTTGTGCCTCCTCCAGCATACAATAGTATGTTTAAGTATGTGTAAACCAAGCCTATTTTTCTTTCCAACTATTGATTTTTAAATGAAGTATCAAAGAAAATCAATAGCAATCAACAAATAGAAATCTACTGGCTGTAGTGTCAAATCCCATGACTAGGTTTAATCAATTTGGTTGCCTGTCACAACAAGAAAAAGTTCAAGAAATATCTTAAAATGGAAAGTGAGTTGTCAGACCCGTAGTTTATCATCAACCCCCAGAGTGTCATGTGAAGATCAGACCGCTGTGTAGTACATCATTACCTCACAAGCTCTAAGTGTCATCTAATGGCTGGCGAGTCTCGTTCCAGGGCACAAAGAGAGTTCTTCCTTTGTAGATAATCCTTTACCATTTGAGGGAGACTATTCCAAATATGTCCTTATACTTTGATTCTTAAATGTCTCAGACATGGAGAAGCTTGACCCATGGAATTATAGAAATATAGGACCAGATTAATGGTGAGAGTGCATAGTTTCTGTGTTTAGATTGTGATTAGTCAGTTGTCATCTCATTTTACAGAATCACCAATAACTTCAGACTGCTCATTTAAGCAAAAAATAGAAAAGACTTTTTAAATTTTAGTTTTTGACATCCACGTTTCTAAGAATAGTTTCGCAATATACTTGAGGGTATTACGTACTTTCATTTCCAATTTATACTAAGAACTTGCTGACTTCCTGACACTCGAATGCTCAGAGCCTTTTCTTTGGACCTCTTCATCTGTCTGTATACATTCCCTTGGTTCCTGAGCTCACCCTGTACTGTGGCTATAAATACCTCTAATTGCCAATGACTACCATTTTTATATCTTCAATTTTACTCCAGTTTGGTATCTCCTAAACAAATCTGCTCTCTCCTCGCCTCCTTAAAAACCTACTTCATCTCATTGGCTTCTCTGTAGCAGGAAGTGGATACTCTATTCTAGTTGTTCAGGTCAAAACCCTTGAAATCATTGTTGACCTCTTTCTTTCTCTTATACCTCATCTCCAATCTAACTGTAGATGTCAGCTTTGCTTTAAAATATATTTATAATTTGATTCACTCACTCTCTAACTTCACTGCTCTCCCTCTTCCTGGTCTAAGCTATATCATATCTCACCTGGACTATATCATATCTCATGTAGCCCTCTGGCTAGTCCCCTGTTGATTTAACAGGCCAGAGTGAGCCTGTTAAAATGCAAGTCAGAGCATGTTAGTTTTCTTTTCAAAACCTCAAGGCTTTTACCGTAGAAGGGTTTCTCTTAGAACATTCGTCTCACACATATCCATGCAGCTGGCCTCTTACCTCCTTTACGTCTATGATCAAATGTCACCTTTTCAATTAAGCCTTCTTTGAGAGCTTCATTTGTTTTTTTATATAAGTAATGTTTGTTTATTGAAGAAAATTTTGAAAGTGCAGATAACCATAGGAACAAATACTGATACCTATAATTCTGCTGCAACTAATATTTTGGCATAGATATCTTTTTATGCATATATATGTATTGACTTTTTATTGAGGTCTTACTTGTTAAAGTGAAATGTGGAGAGCCTAAGTGTGTGGTATATAATTGGGAACTGTTCTCCTGCATTTTCTGAAACAGTTTATATAGGATTGGGATTTTTTTTCTTATTTAAATGATATATATAATTCACAGTGAAGTCATATTTAATATTTCTTATTCAGTTTTGCTAATTTGTACCTTTCAATTTTATCATCCATTTCATCTAAATTGTTGAATTTGTTGTTATAAAATTGAGTATATTCCCTTATACTTTCCATTTTTGATCTGGCATGATTAGAAGATACCACTCCATTCTAAACTTAAGTGAAATGCTAAACAAAGTCAACTTTTCTTTTCTTTTCTTTTTTTTTTTTTTTTTTGAGACAGAGCCTCAAGCTATCCCCCTGGGTAGAGTGCCATGGCTTCACTGCCGCAGCAACCTCCAACTCCTGGGCTCAAGCAAGTCTCCTGCCTCCGCCTCCCAAGTAGCTGGGACCACAGGCGCCCACCACAATGCCCAGCTATTTTTTGGTTGCAGCCATTATTGTTGTTTGGTGGGCCCGGGCTGGATTCGAACCCACCACCTTAGGTGTATGTGGCTGGCGCCTTAGCCGCTTGAGCCACAGGCGCCGAGCCTCAACTTCCCTTAAATTCATAACAGAAGTGAGATCACAGGACAACCAACTGTCCCCTAACTTGGACAGGTAGATGTAGAAAATTACAAGTTACAGGAGCAGAAACCCACAAGCAGAAACTTCTGTGGGAATGTAATTTATAAATTGCTGAAGGGTCAGTGTGGGCAAGTCTGAGAGTCAGACAACTCCAAGGGCTTTTTTGACTTTTATGAAACTACTGTAGTAGTTTCAAGGTTCTTACTCTGAATGTCAGAGAAAATTCCCTTCCTGTCTCCATGCAGGGGAAAGTAACCATTCTGTTCTCCTACAGATGTTCTGTCATGAGGAGAAACTATTTTACTAGAGCCTAACTTGCTGGGTTTTTTCCTAGACCCTAACTCACCTGAGGGAAAGGAAATACTCAATTCTAACTGTATCTACCCTTTTACACAGGCCCCTCTAACTTTCCACATGGCAGAAAGGGAAACACCCAACTCCAGCCCACTCTGACCATCTGCAGGAGCTGGAGTGAGGGGACTAAGAAGCACTGTGACGTCCACAGCTCAGAGGCACAGGTTTACCAAAAGACTGAGACAGAATCATGCGACTGTAGGATGCCTTCATTGTGCCCACACTTGATTACTGTATTACTAAACTTTGTATTACAGTAGTTCTGTTTATATAGTATGATTGATCATATCTGACTATCAAGAAAAAAATTACAAGGCATACTAAAAGGGAAAAAACATAGTTTAATGAGATAGAGCAAACATCGGAACTACTCTCAGATATGGCAGAAATGTTGGAATTATGCTGGCAATTTAAAACTAACTATATCTAATTTGCTCAGTGCTTTAACAAATAAAGTAGGCATCATGCAGTAACAGATGGACTATGTAAATAGAAGTTATGAAAATTATACTATGTAAGTAGATGGAAATTCTAAGAAAGAATCAAAAAGAAATGCTAGGGATGAGAGGATTCTGGGAAGATGGCAGAATATGAAAGACCGTGTATCTGTCCCCCTACCCAAAGATCATTAAATTGGCAGAGTCTCTCTATTGTAACTATTTCAGAACTCTCTGGAGTCAAGTCTAGAAGGCTTGTAACTTCCCCTGCAGAGTTAGTTAATACAGTGAAGTGGTTAACTGCAGTAGTAGCTACCATACCCTACCCCCAGTCCATGGTTTATGGCTGTGCCTGTTTTCCTGGAGCAGCTTGCACATAACTTGTAGGATCCAGAGTTAGAAGAAAAGCACCTTGTCCTCCAGCTTCAGGGTTCTGTGCTCTAATCACTTACAGCAATTAGTAATCACACAGGTGGAGACAAAGAGGCGTGCAGCCACTGTTACGTCCACCCCTTGTTCGATGAAAACCCTTCCTAATCTGGCTGAGGTGACTGACAGTAGAATGCATCTCTTTCTCTCCCCTCCTTGTACTTTTATCTTTTTTCCATTTGGGGAGGCAGTCATCAAAGAAGACTAGGACATGCAGAATCATTTGTATGCACGGAGAGACTTAGAAAGCGACTGGACATGCCAGGGAAAGGCACAGGTTTGGCAAAGAGAAGCCTTAACTCTACACCTCAGGCTAATCCTAGGCCCAGGGACAACCTTTAACAATTAACCCAAACTAAACAAACCAGCAATCCCTAGGGAAGGGGAACAATCTGATTCCTGAGTTACCATATTATTCTATTCAAATTTGTAGTTTTCAATTAAAAACTCAGAAAGCATACAAAGAAAATAGTATGATACAAAGGAAAAATTAAGTCAATAAAAACTTCCTGATGGCAGATTAGACAAAGACTTTAATAACTGTCTTAAAGATGCTCAGATAACTGAAGGAGCATGTGGACAATGCCAAGGAAATTATTTATGGAAAAAAGGAAATGTCAATAAAGATAATAGAAAACCTAAAAAGAAACCAAAAAGAAATTCTGGAGCTGAAAAGAACAGTAATTGAAATGAAAAATCTGCTGGGGAAATTTAAAGGCAGATTTGAGCAGGTAGAAGAAATAATAAATATCAACATAGGATAATGGAAATTAACGTTTCTGAAGAACAGTAAAATAAGATTAAAGAAAAGTGAACAGAGCCTAATGGATCTGTAGAACACCATTAAACACACACATTTGCATGTTATGCAGATGTTATACAAGAGTTATAGGAAGGCTCGGCGCCTATAGCTCAACCGGCTAAGGCGCCAGCCACGTACACCTAAGGTGGCAGGTTCGAATCCCCAGCCCGGACCCGCCAAGCAACAATGACGGCTGCAACCAAAAAATAGCCGGGCGTTGTGGCAGGCGCCTGTGGTCCCAGCTACTTGGGAGGCGGAGGCAGGAGACTCGCTTGAGCCCAGGAGTTGGAGGTTGCTGTGAGCTGTAATGCCACGGCACTCTGCCCAGGGGGACAGCTTGAGGCTCTGTCTCAAAAAAAAAAAAAAAAAAAAAAAGAGTTATAGGAAAAGAGAATGGGACAAAGAGAATATTTCAAGAAGTAATGGTGTAAAACATAAATTTGATGAACGATATGGATATAAACATTCAAGAAAACTGAATGAACTCAAGTAGGATGTACTCAGACATTTACATCAAGACACATTGTAAT